TATATACATAAATGGCTATCTAATTGTAAAAAAAATTACGTAAAGCGGCACGTATTGTAGTATAATAATGTAAATAATTTTTTTTTTTTTGGTAATCAAATAGAATTATAAAAAAAAAAAAAATGTGAAACGGAAATAAAAAACAAATATATATATTAATAATAATAATAAGTAATAAGTAATAATAATAATAATTCTAATAATTGAGTTAGAAAAGTCCGCTTTTGCTTATGTACATTATATAAAATGATATATATATATATAATTTAATTTGTAAATAAATTTTAAAAATAAAATTGGTCTATTTCGATTTTTTTTTCTTTTTCGTTTTTTTTTTTTTAATTTGATTCTAAATAAAAGAAAAAAAATTGTTGAGTTTTTAGGCAAGTTTATTACATTAGATAAAAATTTTCCCATTTGAAAACCGTTGCAAGTTTTGTGTTGTGTTTAAATAAAACGAAAAAAAATGGTTTAAAAGAAAATGGAGAAAGAGTGAGAGAGAGAGAGATTTTTATAAAATATATTATTTTCATTTGAAATAATTTATTGGATTTTGGAGGAAAATGAAACGGATAATTATAAATATGCGAAATCGTCTGCAGCCACGTTCGTTATTTTACCAGCAGACAGTCAAAAAAAAAAAAAAAAAGTGTAATTTGATTTATTTTTATGTTGTTGACTACGGATTTCACATGGTTTAATTAATTAAAAAATAGTTTAAGGTATGGCAGGTAGTCATTTTTACAAAGTGATAATTATTTATATTATTTTGTAAAAATGGGTTCTACTTCGTCAAGGGTGGCAAAAAAAATATCAAATACATTCCGTTCAACATCAAATGATAATTTTAATAATGTATCTAATGAAAATTCAATACAAAAATTTGGTAGACATTTAGTTTTTTCTAGGAGAGGGTAAAAATTTTATTTTATTTTTACATTTGTCTTGATTTTGTTATATTTTTTTATGTGTTATTAACATTTTTGCTGTAGTTGTTGTTGTTTGTCTTATTAATTCTTGTTTGAACCGGTTCAATTTTGATTTTTAGATCAATGTACAAAGATGAAGATGGAGATTTGGCTCATGAATTTTATGTTGAAGTGCCATCGAAACAAGGATGTAAAGCAACAATGAAAAGAGTTTATGATAATTTAACTCCTGAAGGAGAAGTTTATTATGATATACCAAGGCTTCACGTTGATTTTCCTTACATAATTGCAAATTTATAAAATTTTTATTTAATTATGAAATCGGAAAGTATGAAATTTCTAGACAGTTGAAAATAATCGAATAACCATCAGTAATATTAACAAATGAAACAAAATTTTATTTTTGCATAATGAAAATATTCATTTTCTAATTAGTGTAGAAGTAAAATCAATGCTCAGTAGTTCAGTAATAAAATCAAATGACTTTGATAAAAGTTATCAAATTGAAATATGATTTCAAAGACTTATTCCTATCAATTCTTTATAAAATTATTTACTAAAATTTTTTATTTTTTTTACTTTTACTTAAATATATTTGTAAAACAACTTTTTAAAAGAGAAAAAAAAAAAAATATGTACATACATTGTTTTAATGGGTCTCAAATTTTTTTTAAAAAAAATGTTATTTATTTGCCTTATTATAATTTAAAAATTTTATTTATTTACTTATACATATAATATTATTGATTTGTATTACCAGTTAATTTAAAATATATAATATATTATATTATTTTGTTTTTGTTTTCCCTGTTAACATTTCATCATCATTTGTTTAGTTTTTTCAGACTTTTATATTTATCTACAAAATGTTAAAATACTTGTAAATAACCTAAAAGCAATAATTATTAATGACAAACACTATTATATATACTAAATTTTTTTTTAATGAAAGTAGTTTTTATAAAAATATCACAAGAATAAAAACAAGTTTTTTTTTTAAAAATTGGACCAAAACTAGTTTGTAAGTAATACAAAAATTAAAATTTTGACTGTTAAAAAATTTTATTTGGTTAATCATATTATATTTTTATATTTAAAAATTAAAAAGTATCGTTTCGATTTGTGAAAATTATTATTATTTTTTTTTAAATTTTATTAATAAGAGTTCATAATTGTAATTTTGTAAAAAAAAAAAATTAGTAATATCAAATTAATTAGACTCTATGGTCAGTTTTGAGAGATATCGAAAACTCGATGTTCAGATATCGAAATAATCCATTCTTATTAAAAAAAAAAGTTCTGTGATATGTTTTCATACTTATTTATTTTTATTTATACAATTTATTACCGATGATTGTTTTCAATTTAATAGCGAAAAATAATTATTTTTTTCTTTTAAATTTATTTATCAATGCCATACATGTTGTTACCTGATTGAAAAACCGAGTTATTAAGTGTGTGAACATGGACTCAGAAATGGATGAAGAGTAAGTGTGATGAAAGCGTGGGTCTCTTACAAAAAAAAATAATGTTTTTGTTATTTCCCTTTAACCTAAGAGTTACTATTTAGTTTTTATTACTTATGTCACTACAATTAAATTTTCAACAAAAAATTTCGTTTTAAATAAAATTGTTTGTTTGTGCAGTGCAATTATGGAACGATGCAACGTGCGAAATTTGAAATTTAAGCATATTTTTAACATTATCTTTCAATATTTTTTTGCTATAACCTACAAGGTTAACTTGTTGTAGTAGATAAATAAAAAAAAAAAAAAAAACGATTTTTTTGCAAGCCGATGGTTTAGCGTTTTTGTTTTTAAGCAAATTTTTTTTTTTTTTTTTGTTATTTTCTTTAAGGTATTCCTCAATTGGTTAATACAGTACCAGTCAATATGCCAACAATTGAGGAATTTCAAAAAGTTGCATTATTGTACACAAGCGGTAATCCTAATGATAGGGAAATAGCCAATCAATTAGTACATTACATTAGAAATCATCCTAGAAGCTATCAAATTGCTGTTCAAATGTATACATCATATTTAAATACCAATCAGCCTGAAATGTTAGAATGGACAAAATTTTTTTGCTTACAAATAATCAATGATTACATTGAATCTAACTACAAAGAAATACCAATTGCTGAGTTATCGTGTATTAAAAATTTTATGAACTCTTGGCTTAGAAATGAGGTGAGAAATAATTTTAAAAGAATTTTAATTTAGAATAAATGCAGAACAATGTTTTCTTTTTGTTATTTGAATTTTTAATCATCAGTGAATCTTTAAAAAAATTTTTATCATATTTTTCTTATTTTTCTCAAGGTAAATAATCCTTCATCCTTTTTAATAAAACACAAAATGGCAGTTTTATTTTTGACTTTCTTTCTTCTTGAATTTCCAATGACTTGGCCGACATTTTTTGAAGATTTGCTTCAAACTTGTAATATTGGTAGGGAAACAGTTGATAATTTTTTAAGAGTTTTAATATATATTTGCGATGAAATCGGAGAGAGAGACACACCATTTAAAGATGAACTTCACAAAAGAAACACCAATTTAAAGGATGCAATGAGAGAGGGAAATATTTTGCAATTAATTTTTAAAAAAATTCAAGAAATTCTGGTTAGTAAATGATGTAAAAATTAAACAAACACAAAAGACTTAATTGTTTTTATTAATTTTGTAATGATAACTATTTTAATTTTAAGATTTGCTGTTGCCCAGTCGGAGGTAATGGAGTTTGCTTGGATGTGGAAATAACAAAATCTGCCTTAATTATTATTGAAAAATATGTCAGCTGGATTGACATTGATTTAGTTGCCAACAATGAAATGTTTTCCAATATAATAAACATACTTAATTACAAAGAAGTTAAACATCAGGCAATCGATTGCATACATGAAATTATCTATAAGGGAATGTTGCCTCCGAATAAATTTCACACTATTCAAGTCATTTCAAAGGCATTATTATTCAATGACAGATATTGTTCTGGGGTAAGAAATAATTTTTTTTTGTTTATTAATTATTAGCATGTATTAGATTTAGTTTTATATTTATATTTTTTTGATTTTAGCCACTTCAGTGTACAGATGATGATGTAGAATATGAATCCCATGTAGGTAGACTGCTAAATACAATAGGATTAGAGTTATTAAAAATAATGACAAAGTGAGTCTCTTTTTTTATTATTATTATTATTATAAAATTTGTTTTAAAAGGTTTTATACAATTTGTAATTTAAAACAAAAATAATTTTTTTAGGATTGCACCTGAAACATCGATAGAGGGTCAATGTGTCACCACAATTTTGCATAAATGTATTGAAATCATGTTTAATTTTCTTGCTTGCGAATTTGATGATGTTTCAATCACTGTTATAGAATTTGCAAAGGCTTATTTACACGTGAGTTAAACCGCCATTAATTTCCTTAAATTTAAAATTAATTTTAAATTTACCCATTTCTCACCGTTCAAAATAAATTTAAATTTAATTTGATATTGATTTTATTTTAGGCTTTAAAAGCTAGGAGCAACAAAGTCTACAGCGGAGTTTCTGTATATACAGATTTAGAATTATATTTTGTTAAAGCCCTTTTAGAAGTTGTTGTGTTACGTATGAGATACACGGAAGATTATAACTTTGTAAATGACGGAGAATTGGAAGCTGACTTTCAAGAATACAGGTAGAAAATAAAACAAAAATAAAAAATAATTTATAAGTATTTTATTATTATTATTGTTTAATTAAGGTCATTCAGTTGTTACGGTTTAAACTTAAAAAAAAAAAAACATTTTTTTTTTTTTTTTATTCGCATTTTTTTAAAATGACTAATTTATTTATTGGCTGGATTTCTACATTAGAAACCTTGAAAAAAAAAATTTTTTTTGTGTGTATTAAGTAATCTTATTATTATTATTTTTTGTTGCAGGAAAGGATTGAATGTGATATTTGAAAATATAGCCATTTTCAATAAAAGTTTAGTTTTGGATTTAGTCGAGCAGTACGTGGCTAGAACGGTTGTCATGTGGAATACGGATAAATCCGTACCGTTTAACGAAATCGAAGTTGCATGCCATTTGTATTACCTTTTGGGAGAATCTTTACCCGTTGAAAAGGGTTACAATCACTTTACTGTAGGTTTTTCATTCATTCATTCATTCATTCATTCATTTTTTTTTTTATTGATTTATCTCAAGCGGTCATAAAAAAAAAAAAAAAAAAATGGTTTTCATTCGTTATTTTATTTTTCAGTCGCCGTCGTTAAGAGTTAAAATGACTGAAATAATGAATTCAATATTGAAAACTGATTTATCCACTCATCCTCATTACGTTGTGTGCCTATATTTTTTTGAAATCATTTGTCGTTTCGATAAATATTTCAAAGTTCAAAACGATCCCAAATTATTATGGAACGTGATAACAGCTTTTCTAACAGAAAGAGGAATGAGACATCCAAACGTGAGAGTTCGTAGTAGATTAGCTTTTCTTTTTTCCCGTTTCGTTCGTACTCTCAAGTAAGTTTTTTTTTTTTTTTTTTTTTACATTGAAAAAGAGAGAAAAAAAAATTGTATTTCGAGAAAAATTATTATTATTATTATTTTTTTTTTTTTTTTGCAGAGACGAATTGAAAATATACTCGAGAGAAATACTCGGTTTAATGGAACCACTTTTACTGCGGCCTAATAACATGTTTCAAAATCCATTCCTTTCACACGACGATCAATTATACGTTTACGAAACCGTTTGTTTTTTAGTTTTAAACCTTCCAGAATCTTCCACGGTAAGTTTTTACGTCGTTCGTTATTACTAAACATAGGAGTTACTGACTCTGATTTCAATATTTTTTTGTATCAATAGGAAATAAATGAAAAAGCCGAACATTTCAAGAGTTTGTTAGCTCCTTTAAAGCATCATATCGAAATGTGTCGTACGGCATACATGACGGAACAAGACGAACGGAAAAGAGCCATTTTCATGGAGGAAATAAGTCATCATATAGCCATAGCCGGACGGTGTAGCAAAGCTTTCACGTGTCGGAAAAGCATGCAGGAAGAAGGAGTCGTAGATATATTTCTCGAGCTCATGATGTTATTTATATCACTCGTACGTATTTTCCCTCTCTCTCTATCTCTCTCTCTCTCGTGTCTTCCAAGTAGTTTTGTAGTAATTAATTCTTTTTTTTCTTTAAAAAGGTTGAAGATGTTTCCTTGGACAAGAGTGTTATCGACGCTGCCGTCAAACAATATTTACATCGCATGATAATTTGCCTGGAACAGGATATGCTACCCTCGACGCCGAGAATATTTTTAGCATTTACAAAAGTTCCTAATCCTGCCGTCATAAACGATTTTTTATCATTGCTCATGCAAATGGTGAATCGATTTAAGGTAGGGTGGGTTTTTAAGGGGGTGGGGGTGGGGAAATCACGTGTTTGATCGCGTCGAAATTTTTATAAAAAAAAAAAAAAAATTTTTTTTTTTTTTCCAGGTAAATTTATACGACTGTCTTATGACATTCCACGGCAGTTTATTCAACGCAATCGATAAAGCTTTGGACGATCGATTCATATTAGAAAATAATCAAATTGACGAAAACGTCATTCGCGATAAGGTACGAAAGGGAGGAGGGGGGGGAGGAACAAAAGTAATAATAATAATAATAAGAGTCCCGGGAGTTATTAACACAAAAATTTTAATTTATTTTATTACAGTTAACGTTGAGACGATCTTATTATCAATTAGTTTTGTCCATGTTTAACAATAATCTCGGGGAAATATTTCAGGTCGAAGAAGTTTTTAAATTTTTCGTCAAGGATATACTTTACGTGCTCAATAACGAAACGGATCCTTTGGTAAGGAAAAGTTTTTGTTTTTTGATCGGGATTTGTGACTCTGTCGACTTCAAAGATAATTTGTTTTTTTGTTTTTTCCAGCTCCAAAAAAATGCTTTTCACTTGATAAGGAAAACAATGGAAATATGGAACAATGAAAATTATCACGAAATCGTTTTCAAAACTTTTGTACCTTCTTTTTTCAAATGTTTAAGCACGGGTTTGTTGTTCGATTCGCCCGAGAGTACTTTTAGTTCGGCAGCAGACGAAGCAGTCAGACTGATTATGTTTCTACACAAACAAAATGTCAGTTGATTTCCTCCCCACGCATTTTCTCATTGTTTTTTATTATTGTTGTGAGAGTATAATAACGTGTTCGAATTGAAAAACATATTTTCAGGCAAACATGTTGGAACAAAAATTACGAACAGAGCTTTTGCTCGGACGACCCGTGACGGATGTGGAAAATTTCATTCATTTATTTCAAACAAATTCGAAAAACGATTTGAAAATATTTAGGCAATATTTAGAGGTGAGTGAAAATAATCATTATTATTAATACTATTTTCCGTTTCCGTTTGTGTTTTTAAAAAGAAAAGGTTATTTTAAATTTTTCCATTTGTTTTATTTTCGCGGTTTTTCTTTGTTTTGTTTTCACTTGTCGTCATTTCCTTTTTCAGTTATTTTATAAAACAACAAGAAATTTAAATTATCATGGAGTCCGAACCGTATAATGAAAAAATTAACGTTAGGCTTTCGAAATTTAAATAATTAATAATGATGATGATTATGTAGGATTATGATGGCGATGATGATGATGGAAAAATGAACTTTTTTTTTTCTTTTTTTTTTTCTTTCTTTTTTTTCTCTTTTTTTTTCTCTTTTTTTTTTTTATTTCGGTGACAAACTTGAATTAAGTTACATCCGTTACTAGTCAACAACATATTATTTTTAAGAATTGTTTGTAAAAATGAAAATAAAATAAAAAATAATAATAATAATAAAAGAAAAATATTTATTAAATAAATAAATAAATATATTCTCTTTTTAAAAGAGCGTGGAAAATGCAAAAATTTAGTGAGAAAAAAAAATGTTGGGAAATTATTTTTTTTTCTTATATATATATATATATATATATAAATAAAATAAAAGGTAATGAAAAAAAGTAATTAAAAAAAGAAAAAGGAAAAAAAGTATATAAGAAGAAAAATGCAAAAAATAAGGAAAGGAGAAAAAAAAAAAGGGAAAAAAAGGACAAAAAAAAAATTTTTGCATTTTTTTAAATTCCGACTATACAATTACAAAATTAATTAATTAATTACAAAATTTTAATTATTCTTCCCGCCCCTTTTTTTTCGTTTTTATTTTAATTTTAATTATTATTATTATTATTATTATTATTATTATTATTATTATTAATTTTTTTTTTTTTTACGTTTTAATAATTTTTTTGTGTATTTTTTTTTTATCTATGGAAAAATAAATGCCAAAGTAAAAAAAAAAAAAATATTTATTTCAAAAAGAAGAAAAATTAAATTTTTTTTTAAAATTTTAAATTCCCTTAAATTAAGTTTATTTATTTCTTCATCTATGACGGCGGCGGCGGCGGCGGCCATATTGAATTTAAATTTTTAATTTTTTTTTCCCCGATCGAAATCATTTATTATTAAAAAAAAAATTGATAACCCGTAACGGAATTTTTTTCTTATTTTATTATTATTATTTTGTCAAACTTTCTTTTCACGTATTTCCATTTTCGTTTTAAATAATAATAATAATAATAATATTTTTGAATATTTTGAAAAGGAAAAAAAAACAAACAAATAAATTTAGTTTTTAATTAAATGTAATAAGTTCAAAAATTTAAAGTATTTATTTAAATAAATGAATGTCACTCATCAACACTTTGTTTTTAACAAACAAACAAACAAATTATCGAGAAAAAAATTTCTTAACAATAAATGTCATCGAAATGTTTAATATTTAAATAATTGTTATACTTTTATTAATAATTATTATTTTGTTAATTATTTTTTTTTTAATTATTAATTAAATTGAAAATTTTTTTAATAAAATTTTTTAAATTTATATTTAACTGATTTTAAGGTACAAAAAAAAAAAGAGAGATAATGGCGAGTGACCGTTTTTTAAAAATGTCCGACAATTACATAAAATCTGATAATTCTTTTTAAAAAAAAAAAAAAAAAAAAATAGGAAGATTAAAACAAACAAACAAACAAAAAACAGGTTGAACTTTAATAAAATGTTTGTGTGATCACCTCGTTACCTACAAAAATTATTATTATTATTTTCTAATCATAAATGGATTTTTTCAAAAAATTTTCTGGAGATTTATTTCCGGTTTTATTTAGGATTTTTTTTTCACTGGAATATAAATGGCGAACCGTTTTGTTAATCTCGCGACAAATTTCCCCCTTATTAATTATTATTTTTATTTTTATTCCATCATCAATATCGATAAACCGGATATCGAGGTATCGATGTAATTATTTTGATTCTACAATCGATAAATTCGTCTTGTTGTCTTTAAAAATAATTTTGTCTAATTAAGATTTGATCCTGATCATCATCAATTCATCTCTTTATCAATTATTATTATTATTATTATTATTACTACTAGTTTTTAGTTCATGTGAATTGATAAATGATATTTACAAGCGGATATATTATTATTATTATTATTATTATTATTAAATAAATCGAATTAAGACGAAGAAAGAAAAAAAAAAGAAACAAAAAAAATTTTTTTTTTCGGGTTAATATTTCACGGATTATTTATTATTATTATTATTAATATAACTAAAATATTTTATATCAATTTACTTGTTTTGAAAAACAAAAAAACCAGGTCAAAGGTCAGATATACGTAGAATATATATGGTAAAAACGTTTGTTCAACCCGCGCCCGCGTGAGAGAGAGAGAGAGAGAGAAAGAGGTATAGGAATTATTATTATTATTTTTTTTTCAAACCATCCACGCACAATAAAAAAGAAATTGTATTAAAATTTTCACGTGTGAATTTAAAATAACAGTAAAAAATTATAAATAATGATAATAATAATAATAATAATAATGATGATGATGATGATGATGATTCTTCGTAGGAAAAATATGACCTTTTTCTCGCGGTTTTGAACTTTTATTTTATTTATTTATTTTTATTTTATTTTACACTTTGACCGACCTGAGTAAAAACCAAAGTTTTTATTTTTATTTTTATTACTTTTTAATAATAATAATGAAAAAATTACCGGTTTTTATTTATTTATTTATTTATTATTTATTTATCTATAAATTATTTATTTAAAAATGATTTTTTACTCTTTGAAAATTTTTCACAGGTGAATAAGTTATTAATAATTATTCCTTAGTTAATTTTAACCCCCTTGTTTTTTTTTTTAAACTAATTGAACCCCCCCCCCGTCCAAAAAAAAAAAAAAATAAAGAAAAAATTGTTCGTTAAGATGACAAGTAGTACTCAATGTCAAAAAATGTTTTTTGTTTTGTTTTGTTTAAAACAAAAACAGTAAAAAAAAA